CCCAACAAGTCAATACTACTAGATTAAAATTTTTTTTTAATTTCACATAATTTCCAGGTTTACCTCTTTCTTTACTTGAACACACCGAAGGTGACAACTTCAGCCATGTCGGCATATCTGCCTTTATCATCGGTGAAAGTCTCCTACTCTGGATCGTCGGCATATGCACGCAAGTGAAGTTCTACGAAAATACATAACTTCGGCCGCAAAAGTAAGCGCTCTTAAGATCGGAAATGCATCCGCAATTGTCAACGTGGCAATCGCTGTAGTTGCAGCCGTAAACTGTGAGAAAAGTACAAAATTATCAGCACTTCTGTATCCAACGTTTAGATAGTGTCACAAACTTCATTTCAGAATTAAACTAGTCTGCCGTGTGGAAGAGAAATTTGAAGTTCGATTGCAGTAGGAGTCATCAAAGTACAAGTGTTACAGGCAAGGGTGTACCATGTGACGTAGTTTAATTAAGCTCTAACATGCAGCTATTAGCAATATTAGTCCATTTCATTTTTTGCTTTTTGACATTCAAGACAAAGTTGAATTTTAAAAATAAATATCTTTCAATGCTTATCTTTAAAGTCATAACGTTCTCTAGGTACTATTACAGTAAAAATAAAATATTAATTAGCGTCAAAATAATGTGATGTTATATTAATACATGAGATATTAATGGCTCAATTAGATTCATGCCCTAGATTTATCGTTGAAAGTTTATAAATTTAGTAGAGCTTTTATTTCATTCGTGCAGTTGCAAATTCAGGCAAAATCTCTGTTTTATTTAACTATTAAACATTTTAGTCTTTTTCCTCAAAATCAAACTGACAATTATGAAAATGTATAATCTATTAAGGTTACTTATTTTTTTAATTTGTTAAAATTTGTCTTGACAACTTTAATAAATGTAGCATTGATACATGAGAAGTTAATGCCGTAATGAATTTTATGCTCAGGAGTTTTGAGGGAAATTTCATACATTTATTTTTGACTAGATTTCAAAGTTAAAAGCTTCTGTCTATTAAGTGCGATTTTAATGACAGTCAGAAAAGTAAACATAATTTGAAGTTAATCTCTTGCCTTGTAGGTATACTTAATTTTATTTAACTCTGATCAAATT